AGGCCCCGCTGGCAGCCCTCCCTGTGCAGGTGCATTTTTTATGAGGGATAAAGAGCAGCCCATTACACTCCCGGAGACCCTGGAGGAAATGGACTCCGTGGATGCTCGCTGCCTGGTGGAGGGCAGGACGAGCTCCATTTCCCCTCCCTGCAACCTCTGCTCCGATAAATACCAGCCCAGCCCTCCCCGGAATCCTCCTGGGATGTGGGATGCGAGAGCCCAGTGTCTGGGGAGCAAGGAAAAGGCAGGGCCGGGCACTTCCCCGGGCGGGAGGGGAGAGGGCAGCCCATCCTGCATCAGAGCCAGGAGTGGATCTCTTTTCCTGCGGAGATGTGGCTGCTGTGGGCACGCCTCCCCGCTGCCAGCCTGGCACCAGCCTCGCCGCCAGTCCCTGGGTAAACCCGTTAGCTGCACAGCCATGCGCCCGCCCCTGCTGCAGCTGGGCGCGCTGCTCAGCTCCATGGCCATGATCTCAAACTGGATGTCCCAGATGCTCCCCGCCCTGGTGGGGCGCAACACCAGCAGGCTGTGGCCGCCAGACGCCTCAGTAAGTCAGGCCTTGCGGGGTGGGCTGGGCGTCTCGGGGAGTGAGTGCACTAACCAGTGGGCTGGCTTCTGCCGCTTGTGATGCCTAAGGTTTCTGCTTCTCTGGGTGGTGGTAACTTCAGTATTTTTTTTTTAAATGAACACTTAAAAATTACATGAAATAAATAGATTTCCCCAGAAATTACCTGCGAAGGGAAAAACTAGACTCCTTGAATGCTTCAGCATAAAGAGTTTTCACTTACCAATATTAACCCGAGGTGGGGAAGGCTATTTAATGTGTTTCTTGCTATTTTAAATCTCCATTTAATGTCTGTAAGATCCCGTTCATTGTTTCTACAGAGTCTAGTCTTTCTAACCTAGCTGTGCTATAGCAGGTTCTGCCTTGAACTTGAATTCCTGTGACTTCGCAATGCGTTCAGCCAGAGAAACCAACCTCTTTTAAACACAAATGAATAATAATAAAAAACACCTCAGCAATTTAAAGCCTGCCAAGAAGACCTTAAGAAGCTAAGAAATGCCAAGAACAGATAACTTGCCTGATAAAAAGCCTCTCTCTGTACTGTTTAATTTTTTATAAAGACTTTTCCCATTACAAGTGTAACTCCCGTAGCCTGCCTTCACTGAAACGAATGGCTCCTTAACCCTCCCCAGATTATAAGCAAGTCTCTTCTGATAGCCTGGAGCCCAGTTTGGTTAGCAATGCTCTAAAACCTCCCAAACAAAACCAAAAAACGATCAGCTTTTCAAACAGAAGTGTGGAAATCCATTAGAGGGGGTGTTCTAGAAAGACAACTTCCCTGCTGCCCTGGGAGACCTTTACGTTTTTATCTGATCTATTATTACCACTGGACTCCGCAGTATAATAAAAGGCCCGTAAAAAAGGCAAGTAACCCTCTATTTTCAAGGCTGGTTTGCAGCTACTACGAATAATTAATCTATCCATCAATGTGCAATTAACTGAGGAGAGCCAGGGGGTCCAATTAATTACTTAATTAGCCCGATTCGCCAGGTGCTTGGGCGCCAGCAGAGCACGCTGGAGGCGCACTCTCACCTGCACTTAACGTTCCCTCCGCCCTCAGTGACTTAAGAAACCTCAGTGCCTCCGGCATTGAGAGTCCCCCGCCTTGCTCGCATGGTGTGTGTGTGTGGCTGGAGGGATGGAAAGAAGATTGCAGTTAGAAAGAAAGCATGCTAGCCCAGCCAGCGTGGCTCAGTGGTTGAGCATCTTCCCATGAACCAGTTGGGGCACAGGCCCGGGTTGCAGGCCTCACCCCAGTAGGGGGCATTGCAGGAGGCAGCTGATCGATGTTTCTCTCTCATCATTGATGTTTCTATCTTTCTCCCTCACCCTTCCTCTCTGAAATAAAAATATTTTTTTTAAAAAGAAAGCATACTCTGTCACCAACAAACAATTACAAAACAAGGAAACTCACACCACTTCATAATCCCCGAGCCGAACGCTCTCACTGTGCACGCGGATACCGGGGGTGTTCACCAGCTCAGCTGTGTAACAAACTCTGTCTGGGAATGAAACTGAACTGAGAAATTCAGCACCGAGCTCTGCAAACTCCGCACCTGGCCTCTGAGGTGGACATCTTGTGTGTAGATAAGACATTGGTTTGGTTATTTCCAATGTTGATGGCGAAGAATTGAATTTCCAAAATAAGGCATGATTCTCTTAGGATCTCTATTGTGTAATTTTAAAGAAAGTTTCTGTTCTTTACTTTCTGGTTGGTAATCTGTGGGTGGAAAAGTGTAAAGTATCGCTATGGTGTATGGATGTGTTGACACAACCAAATATTCCTTTGGATGAAAAAAAAAAATCTCAGAAAGTTCTGGAAAGTTTCTGCTATGGTATTTACTAGAATGGATGGAGAGACCAGCTTGCAAAGGCTCTTTTTTCCTTCGGGTAATGTGGCATACCTTACCCAAGAGCAATGTCAAAGATGGCCTTTCCCCACCTTAATTATTCAAGATAATTGCTCATACTTTAGAGTCCCTGTGGTGAAAAAGAATGAATCTGTATTTCCTAGATTAAGATCATCAAATGTTAATGCTGGAAAGGCTCTTAGGAACCATCCAAGCCAGGAATTTCACACTATTTTTAGCAGCAATGCCTGGCTATATGGCTATTTTATTCAAATCCTACACAAGCATACTGAATACATATAGGGTGTTCCAAAAGATGTATATACACTGTGAATGAGTATAAAGGCAGTGCTTATTAAAACACATTTCATTTTCAAAACTGAGCTTATCAGCTGTTAACGTGTATATACATCTTCAGGGGGGAGTGCCCTGATTTTGTTCCCTTCAAAGGATCAGAATCCTGGCCCTTGCCTGGCCCTCCACCCAAGCCCCGATAAATGACTGCCATGCCTTCCACAGAAAAACCCACTCGTGTCCCTGGACATCACCGCCAGCTTCTCTCTGGGTTGCCTGCTGCTTGGAAAACGCCCTCCACCCACCTGTGAGCGCCTCCTCTGGAGCGCAGCCCTGTCTGGCTACTGACAGATGGGCTCAGACCGCCCACCAGCGTCTACCTGCAGAGAACGGATGTGATGAGCTCTGGGCTTAAAGCTGGAGAAACCTGACATTTACTAAATGGGTGACTTGCAGGGGGGTAGGGGGGGATTGCTTACATTTTTTGAGTTTGTTTCCTGATGAGTAAAATAAGATACTGTCTATTTCTAGTCTATTTCTAAAGGAAGTTGATTCAAAAGAAATGAAGCTAATACAAGGTAAGAAGTTTTCTAAACAGAAAAACCTCCTGTCATGCAAGGCAGTGTATTAATTTCTACGTTCAGCCTGGTCTCCAGGACCCTTCTTCCCTGGTACAGAGCCCTGAAGTTTGGAGGTAACTCTCATATAGTAGCTTTATATTTACAAAGGCAGTTTTGCAATTAAATGATAAGCAAAGAATGCAGACTTGACACCCGATAGTTGAAATTATCATTTCATTCTCCTATGTAGAGCACTCTTAAATAGTTCATGACTTTTGTAATATTAAGAGCTGCTAAATAGTTCATTTAGTTCTAATTAACACAGAAGGTTCAAAGGGACTGGATCAGCAATCACTGTGATTAGCAGTGTTTTGGAGGGTAACAAACTACACACACCCTCCGGGTTCAAGTGCAGGGTTTCACAATTGTTAGCAAGGCTATGTTCACGGCACAGGGAAGTTCAGGTCACTGGTGGTTCCCTGTTAAACTTCCAGGCTCTGCCTCAGACTGTGCAAGCACCAATCCCAGCTCTGCTGATCACCCCCCTGGGGGCAGCTTCCTTCCTGTCTCCAGGCCTCAGTTTCCTCACCTACAAAATGGGCAGAAGAACAGCCCCTGGTCTATGAGGTCCCTGCCACACTTACAGGCAACAGCACCGATGAGCTGCCATGCAATGGCTAGAGCGCCGGGAGAGTCTGCTATCACCTTACACGCGCGTGACCGACACCTGAAGACTTGCTCTTACAAGCTCAGACGGAAGCAATCTTTTCGCAGAACCACCTAGTTACTTCCTTACACGGGAGGTTTTCGTTGTTTTATTTGGATCCTCATTTTAACGCGAGTGTGGTGCCCTAGAGGAGAATACGGGAGCCATCCATGAAACCTCCTAGAATCATCACTATCCCTGGAACGGGGATCTCCGTCAGACCCCGCAGAGCTGTGGGGACCCCTCCCTTACTAGCCTTCCTCCCTCTGGAGTCACCTTTTCATGGCCCCAGAGGGAACGTGCTGCATTTGGTATCATTTAGACCAGCGGTTCTCAACCTGTGGGTCGCGACCCCTTTGGCGGTCGAACGACCCTTTCACAGGGGTCGCCTAAGACCATCCTGCATATCAAATATTTACATGACGATTCATAACAGTAGCAACATGACAGTTATGAAGTAGCAACGAAAATAATGTTATGGTTGGGTCACAACATGAGGAGCTGCATTTAAAGGGCCAGGAGGTTGAGAACCACTGGTTTAGATGAACTCTGCAGTAGAGAGGTCGGGATCTTTACAATGGTTCCTACAGGGAGACGCCTGGAAGTACAGGCGAGGCTGGCGTCTGTGCTTTGATGAAGCGGATGCTCCGGGGAAATGTGAAGCGAACATCAAACCTATTCACCTCCCCACGCTCCTCATTCCAGGCAGCACCTGACCCCTGACCCCTGCCTGGCCGTGATCAGCGCCTCCCTAGTTAGCCCAACACTTGGCAGGCGGACATCAATATTAATGCTGCCAGGTTTCATCATCGCTGTTTGCACTCCTGTTAAAGGTATTTTAATATTATAATTGGGTTGGCCCTTGCTCCTTCATCCGAAAGCTAAATTTATTCGAGGGACGAGCCTTAATTTCCTGACATTTTTTGAGATTTGTGTCCCATGCTCGAAGCCCAGCCGCATCGACAAAACCTACGTCTGGATATATTAATCCCATCCTGCTCCTAAGCTTAAACCTTTAATCATATCATTGAAACCACTGCTAAGCTGTTTCCATCTCCGGTCCATCGGGAATCTCTTTCCATTGTTTTCTCCTTTAATACAAAAGGAATATTCTTTGAGAACCTCTCTGACTCTAATAATATATAATTCTGAACACATCTTTCTATCCTAAGTGGATATTCAGGTATAAATCCTGGGAGGAAGGGGTGAGGGAGGATGAAAAAGATAGAAATAATCATAAATCCAACACCCCAGAAATAGGCGGGGCCATAGGAGACTCCTATGAACTACCCAAAAAAGGCGTTTGTGAAAGGAGCCCAAAAAGATGGATTTGTTGCTAAATCCCTTGAAAAGAGAAAGAACTGTGTGTTGGCTGATGGTACGTGAGGAGCTGGGGCCCAGGACAGAGGAAACAGGAGATGACAGCTGAGAATCCCAGAGACTGAGATGCCGGGCCACGGCGGACCTGTGGGGAGAGGATCTGCCTGGTCTGTCCTTTTAAGAACTGGCTTCCAACGTCTAGAGCAGGGGTCCTCAAACTTTTTAAACAGGGGGCAAGTTCACTGTCCCTCAGACCGTTGGAGGGCTGGACTATAGTTTAAAAAAAAAACTATGAACAAATTCCTATGCACACTGCACATATCTTATTTTAAAGTAAAAAAACAAAACGGGAACAAATACAGTATATGTATTTGCATGTGGCCTGCGGGCCGTAGTTTGAGGACCCCTGGTCTAGAGGCAAACAGAGCAGCCCAGTAACTCCGGGCATTTTGCAAGACAGTGCTCTGCTGGCCTCCAGTCACGTCCTGTTCCAAGCCCCATGTCAGCGACCCACCCCAGCCCCTCTCCCAGCCTTCCTGGGCCTCGCCCCTCCAGATTCATGCAGACGCCTTCCTTTCTAGACGGCATCCGTCTTCCTCTTCCCTGGCAATAAAAGACACGCCTCCCCATCTGCTGAGTCCCAGAACCAGAGAAGGGCGCTGGGGATATCAGGTCCCGGGTGTGAACGTGAGCCAGCGCTCACTAAGGCGGCCCAGGGATCTCTGTCCACAGGAAAAACACAGTCAGTGCAACTTGGGTGGTCGGTAGCTTTTCTACATCCGTGTGACTGACCTTCAGAAACAGCTGCTTGGCCCAGCCAGTGTGGCTCAGCAGTTGAGCATCGACCTCTGAACCAGGAGGTCACAGTTTGATTCCTGGTCAGGGCACAGGCCTGGGTTGTGGGCTCGATTCCCAGCGGGGGGCGTGCGGGAGGCAGCTGATGGATGCTGTTTCTCTCTCACTGATGTTTCTCTTTCTCTCTCCTTCGCCCTTCCTCTTTCTCTAAAAATCAATAAAAACCTATTTTAAAAAATAACAATGGGCCCTTAATACACGGGCAACTCCGTGGGATAAAGCTTAGCTTCAGAATATCACACACGAGTAACAATCAGAAAAGAACCTATTGCTAATTGCCACTATGGTTGAGAAAGACAAGCTGTGGGAGCTTACGGAGAAAGACCGGCCGTGTGTGTAAGTGGTTACCGGATGCTCCTAAGGCAGCATTCGTCTGTCCACAGAGCGCTGCGGAGGGGCAGGCGGTGAGTATCGGTCACACGGAGCCTAGAGGAAGAGAACGGCTAAGGAAGGTGTAACTGCAGGAGGCTGTGCCGCCCATGCACCCGTCTCCTCGCTCTCCTTTTAACTGTAAAAACAAAACCAGACTTTGTCAGAAGGATGCTTTGCCGGCCCTCTCCCCGCTCTAACGGGTCTGTGTGCTCCGTCTCCCCAGACGCAGGTCAGCCCCAAGGAGGGGTGGCAGGTGTACAGCTCCGCGCAGGACCCCGACGGGCGATGCATCTGCACGGTGGTGGCTCCGGAGCAGAACCTGTGCTCCCGGGATGCCAAGAGCAGGCAGCTGCGCCAGCTGCTCGAAAAGGTAGGGGCCCGGTCGCAGGCGTGTGTGCACGGAAATCTCCCTTCCTTGCAAAGGAAGTCGGGGGAGGCGGGCGTGGGGGTCAGGGTCCTCCCAGCGTTTGCTCCCGAAGGAGTCCCTCGCGCTGCCTGCTCTGCTGTGCTAATGTGACTTTTCACTGCTCCCAACCCCATCTTCTTAGACTGGCTCTCTGTCAGCTGTCTTAATGTCCAGTGTGTCTCCTTAAAGGAAAAAAAGGTAGGAAGTCTTGTTCTGCTGCCAGAAATGGAGCCTCGTCTCTCGGAATCACACCAGGCTCCTTGAGCTCCTACTTGGGGATTCCATTATGAAGCCTGCAAGGAAGCTAAGCTAGTGGCTCGCACTGCGCAAGCTCTCAGGACGGATAACGAACAAGTCCGAGAATTTGTCAGCACCTCTAAGGCAGCGGTTCTCACCCTCGGCTGCACATGAGAATCACCCGGGAATCTTTTTAAAATCCTGATTTCTGGGCCTCAGCCTCCGAAATTCTCTTTCTTTGTTATGGGGTGGGGCCACAACATGAGTAACAAAGAAACAGAATTTCCGGAGGATGAGGCCCAGAAATCAGGATTTTAAGAAGATTCCCGGGTGATTCTCATGTGCAGCCGAGGGTGAGAACCGCTGCGCTAAGGCATGGCTTTGAGCATCACGCTCTTCAGTTTCACTCAATAGCATTCGCTCCGTGTCACGTACTGAAGCCGGCCCCTAACAACCAACGGCTGAATGGCCTTCACTTCCTCTTTTACAGACACCAGTCGGCTCATGAAAGGTTACTGATGCGTGGTGTGGGGAGAACAAAACAAAACAGAACAACAATGGATGGTTCTTTCCATTCTTCTCATTCAGACTTTGTCCGTGCCGGGCCCTTCGTA